GGAGAGGATTTGCTTCCAGACTGCAGGAGCGGAGATCTGGAGCTTGGTAGTTCATCTCATGCACTAGCTTCAAGCTGTAACCATCAGCTTTTAAGCAGTAGAGCTGACTAAGTGCTGAGTATTTGAAATTCACAGTGATGACACTAGAAGGGTTCAGCATTTCTGAAGAACAAAGCTGTAATTTATCCCCGTATTTACTGAAGGGTTTCTGGATGCCCAGTGCAACAGGATTGTAGTGATAGGGACAAACACAGGAGCACCTCATCCTTGCAGTGTCATTTAGCTGCTGGCTGAGCTGCGATAGCTCTGACCACTGCCTCTTACTGCGTGTGTCTGTGCCACTGAAACAGGCTCTCAAGCAATGATCAAAGTAAATGTACATCAAGGGAAGGAGCTCGGTACAAATTGGGCAGTGATTTTGCTATAACTTTTCTTTATAGCACAGTCATCCTTGGGATAAAGGATGCAAACATTGTGTCCTAGAGAAGCAAACGCTGAGTAGCTGGATCAAACACTGTGTTACTTCAAGGAAGTTGGTGCTGGAAAAGCCATGGGTTTAGTTAGAACCTGTGCCTTGAGGATATGTAAGTCGTCCATTTTGAATTATTTGTCCTTAACAAGCTTCTTGCAGAGCTGTGGAGGGCTTCATTCGAGATAAATACGAAAAGAAGAAATACATGGACCGAAGTATTGACATCAATGTATTTAGGGTTAGTTTCTATAACTTCTGCAAAAGCTTAAATGCATGTCAAATTGTAAGCTTGTCTCACAAGTAAGCTGTCATTCTGTGAAAATAGTTTTAAATGTTTCTTTGATTAGTGACTAATCTCCAAGGCTGAGGAGATTTGGTTGTTTTGTAAATAGAATAATCAAGCTGGAAGGAATTTGGAGGTCATCTTGTTTGACTCCCAGCTCAGAGCAGCACTGATTTCAAATAATTGTTTTTAAGCTATAACGATGCTGCAGGACAGGTAGTTTGCAAGGAGTCTGAAACATCAACAATTGACTTTGAAGCTTTTTGGTTAGTAACAGCAGCATGTAAAGCTCTATTAGCTTTCTCTTATGGGCTTTGACCTTTGTCTTTTCTATTTCACAGAAAGAAAAGGATGATAAATGGAAAAGGAGTAATGAGCAAGTATCAGAAAGAAAACTGGAACCTATAATCTTTGAGAAAGTGAAAATGGTAAGACTGAAAGGCATGGTCACAAACCAGCTGTAGGGACTTCTCTGGATCAGAATGGAGATAATTGGCTTAGTATGGAAGCATGGTGGTTTTCCTTTCAACCCAAAATTTGAAATAAGAGCTCCTTTTATTTTTTTGGCCCTAGCCTCAAAAGAAAGAAGAAACGCAGCTGTCTAGAAAAAGTTCTCCTAAATCTACTGAACCAGTAATGGATTTGCTAGGACTTGGTAAGAGCTTTTCCAGCCTCGTGGTACCCATTCCAATGACTCTATATCCTGTCTTTGGTCTTGTGAATTCTGTGAGCTTTTGGCTCTAGGTCTCCATGACAGGTGAATGACATGCGACAAGAATACTAGTGTTTTAAGTGCTCTAGTGCATCCCAAGCACAGTTCTCAGCCCTGCATCAGAAACAGCAGTTCTGCTTTGTTCTCGTGCAGTGGTTGTGGCACGTGAACAAATCCTTCAGTCCAAGGGCGTTCGGGTGAAACTCTTGCCATGGCTTCGTCTCTCCTAGATGCTCCTGTGGCAACCGCCGTTCCAAATGGCAGGCCTAGCAGTTTAGAGAAGGATCTTGATCTCTTTGCATCCGTGGGATCAAACTCGGACTCCAGGAAGGTGAGTAGGCTGTATCAGTGCCTGCCAAAGCTTAGCTCAGTGCCTGGGCAGGAGGAGAAGTAGCTCCATGTGCCTTCCCCGAGTGCTGAACCCTCTATTGCTCTTGTGCTGCCTGTCTCAGGTCACTGGTTCCATGCCTACGTCTGGAAGTGCTGGTTCCGTTCCTGAAAACTTGAATCTCTTCCCTGAGCCAGGAAGCAAAGGGGAGGAAGCAGGGAAGAAGCAGCTCTCGAAAGACTCTATCCTGTCCTTGTATGGCTCTCAAACACCTCAGCTGCCCGCACAAGGTAACGGATCTCGGAGAAGAGCACGCGAAGGACAGCACAGTCATTCCGTGCACTGATCCAGAGCGGGCGGTTGGGCTGAGAGCACTAAGCTGACATCCTGCAGGCAAAGATGCAGGGTTGTGGGTGCTCCTTCTTTCTCACTAGCCAGGAGCATCCAGTCAGGTTGTCAGGGCCAAGTGAGCCCTGTGGTAGCCTCTGGATTTAAGGGCAGCATTTCAGCCCCTAATGATGAGATCAACAGTTCTTCCTCTCGCTCCTTCTCTGCCTGTTTTTAGGAGCGATGTTCATGGCTCCCGCGCAGATGGCGTATCCCGCAGCAGCCTATCCCGCCTTCCCAGGAGTAGCCCCTTCCAGCAGCATGATGGGCGGCATGATGGCCCCGTCGGTGGGAATGGTGGCCCAGCCTGGAGCGGCAGGGATGGTGGCTCCCATGGCCATACCGGCCGGCTACGTGGGGAACATGCAGGCGGCCGTCATCGGGGTGCCCAACGGGATGATGGCCGCGCAGCAGCCGGGCTACGTGGCCGGCGTGGCCGCGGTTCCGCAGCCCGTCTACGGCGTGCAGCCCGCGCAGCAGCTGCAGTGGAACATCGCCCAGGTGAGGTGGCCACGTCCAGCCCGTTCCCTGGGTGCTTTAATGTTGTGGTTGCCTGGGGCCCGCTGGCCCTGCACATCCTCAATGTGCCGCGCGCTCTCCACCGCGTCCCTGCTCAAGTGGAACCCTCCCTTGGCTTGAGCTGCACCAGAGCAGGCCTTGGCTTCCAGATGGTGACCTTAGTGCGAGAAGGGATGCGTGGGAAGGTGAAAGCTGAACTTGCACCTCGTGTAAGTGTTTGAGAAGCTGGGGGTGCAGCCAGAAAGTAACCGTGGGGTCCTCTATAGAAGCCATAGTTCCACGTGAACTGGAGTGACTCGCACGTTACTGTCACGTAGTGTCTGTTTGGGCTAGACTAGGCTGAACTTAGCCTAGGTTCATTAGGCTGAACCTAGCCTAATTTCTGTAACTTGTTGGGCAGCAAGCGCTTTATCTGAGCGGACTCCTTGGGGCTGGCGGAGTCTCCCTGACGGAGCTTGTCTTGTCTTCTCTCCCCTTCCCAGATGACCCAGCAGATGGCTGGGATGAACTTCTATGGAGCTAATGGCGTGATGGGATATGGACAGTCAATGGGCGGAGGAAGTGCCCAGGGAAGCAATCAGTCCCTCAGCACTCAGATGTGGAAATAATCCCTTGCGTTGTGACCGTTTTTTGCCTTCTGTTCTGTTCTTCAAAACTGCTCCATGAGACATTCAGGGTTTTTCTTTCTGGCTGGCTGCCCAGCCCGAACCTCTTTCCATAACTGAGACCCATCTCTGCCTTTTTTTTACTGTCAGACACGGTGAAACCTCAGTGACCAGAACATGAGCTCCCCTGTACTCTAGCACAGTCAATGCACACTCCTGGGGCGGACCCCTTCTTGCACAAACCTCCACTAATGCTTCTGGGTAGCACTTAATGTCCTGCTGGGTGTCTTAGCGGAGGTGACTTGAAGAATTTGGAAAATTGGGACTTAATACTGCCTGTTCCTTCAGGCCTTTTGGGAATCACTTAATCTCTAGTATTAGTAGGGGCTCTGGTTAGCAAAGGGGTGGAAATGTTGTTTGGTGCTGAGGAAGCGGCTTTGAGCCCGGGGCAAGCCAGCCTTGCTACCTCCTCCCGTCAGCGGATTCCTGCAGAGCTGGGGCCGCGCTGTGCTTGGCTCCACGGAACCAAAGTCCTTGGGAAGAGCCTCTCCCTGCCCCCCTGAGCAAGCGGGATTCTCGCACAGTGCGGGGGCCAGTGCTTTGGAATGGGAGACTTGCACTTCAGAGTGGCTTTTCTGTCTAATCTGTGGTATTGACGTATTTAAAAGCTTTTAACAAACTAACCAAGACGTAACTTATCAAGGGCTGAGAGCCCTCTGCGAGTTTTCTTACACTTTTAAAATGACTGTGACATCCTAATTTATACTTTTTCATATTTTTTGTTCCTGTGTAATGCTGGTACCTATTCCTAGTTAGCTTTTGACATTTTAATTTAGGCATTAAGAAGTGGTTTGATCAGATTTCTTTTCTCATCTTCAGTAGAACATCTGCTTAAACTCATCAGCGTGAATGAGAAGTCAGACTTCCTCAGTCCACTTTATCCTGTGTATATGTAAATTCCCAAATAAAATATTGCAGTGCAAACTCAACTGACTTGTCTTGTGTGTCGATCAGTTTAACAGACTGTGTTAAATGTACTGCACTCACTGGGGTGAGCTGTTCCCTTCAGGTAAGGAAGCTGGAGCCTTTGTCTTCCCACCTTTTCCAACAGATCCATTGGAGGGGGGAATTTTTTCCTTTCCAAGATGGATCTGGGGCCGTTGCCTTTGGAAAGCTCAACTCAAGCACAGAGAAGTTTTCAAGCTGGCTTTAATCATCTTCACTTGCTGCCCCAGTACTGTACATGCAGGTACAAGCCAATGGAAATGTGAATATTTTTTTCCCTTGGGAAAATTGGCTAAGTATTTTACAAAATAGCGTGCACCCTCACAGCCATCAGTCCTGCTGCATATAAACCACAAAAATACAAGAGTTTTACATTAAGAAAGACCACACACACACATATAAAACATTACATAAGACAGGTATAAAATTGCCATTTGCTTCTTTAAATCTATTACCATTCTCAAGTATCCATCACAAGCCCATCCCCTTATCCTGAACCATGGAACTGGGGTTTAAGGAACTTCGGAGTTCACCCCTCTGTGGCATTTATCTTAAGGTGGAGTAGTTACATTTATGAATCTGTCATCAAAGCAAAGTTTATTACAAAATATAAAATGAGTTGGCTGGTCAAGGTAGTCGGATCTGTTTTAGTTGTGTATCTTTGCTTTCCAAAGGGCTCAATGGGGACGTGTCATCCCTCTCCAAGCTCTGCCTGCTTTTCCCCTGGGTCGTGGATGGCTGCAGCAAGATGCAAGGTTGGTGTCTGCTACTTAACACTGAGATGTTTGCCCCCCTTTTGGGGACTTAGAGCTGAATTTGCAGCCGTGCTTAATTCATGGCTAATAGAGTTGGGAAAATCTGACTCTTAGTCTGGGTGATAATTGTCTTTGGAGGGGTTTCTTTTGCAATGCTATGTGTTAGGTATTTTATTCATGTGAAACTGCACGGGTTTCTGGATATGGGAAAGGTTGCAGAGCTTTCCTGTGCTGCAGCCCTGTTGGGATACGAGTCTTGCCTGTCCATCTGAAGCAACTACCTGTAAAGAAAGGCCGTGGTTGGAGGTGTGAGCTTGCTGCAGGGCTCTTCTCACTGCCTTGCACCTTCTCTGCTCTTGCAGCTCTAATTTTTCCTTGCCTCTACATACTGCTAACCCTTCTCTTTTGGGGAGCCAACATAGTTTGAAGGGTATTAGCTATGTTTAAGATATAGGTAAAACCCTCACATGCATCTCATAGTCTAGGTTGAACTGTTCTGTTTAGGCGTTTCTTAAAGCAAGAACATCCTTGTGTGCACGTGTGCTTGCAGCTTGTAGTTTTTGCTGGTCCTCTTTTCTGTTAGTGATCAATTTAAAGGACAGGCTTTGATTCAGATCTGGAGCTGCTACTGCACTAAAGGATGTTCCCAAGTTAAACGTGCGTTTGTTAACTTTTATAGTCAAGGTATAAACTTTTGAGATTAATGACAGATTCTTGAGTGCTGGACAGTATTTTAAATGGTCCAGATGCTTGTTCATACTTCAGTTTTGAGGTGGGGAGTAGGACAACATGATGGGGAAGGTTATTTAACTGCATGAAAAGATCAAGCCCTTTTAAGATAAGAAGGCCACCAACTTCAAAGTGCTACCGGCCGGGAGGCCCTGAACCTCGTCCCAGCGCCGCGAGGCCTCGGCGCAGAGCTGCATCCAGCAGGTAAGTGACAGCCATCCCCGTGGGAAGCCACTCAGTGCCTTCCTTCCCGCCGGAATGCCGCCCTTTTCCTCGGCTTCCGAGGCTTTCTGTTTCCATCTGCACTAAAGGTGTAAACTTTAGTGAGAGCTGGAATCCCGGACGCCTCCTGCCCTTTTCCCAGCAGCTCTGCCGGCCTCAGCTCCTCGTGCCCGGGATGTCCGCTCGGTGCTGGCCCTTTGCAGGAGGGAAGGGAGGATCCTGGGGGCAGCAGGACGTGAGAAACCCTTGTGTCAAGCGAAGGGGGGCCTTGGGGAGGGTTGTTGACCTGCTTTGGAACGGCAGGGACGGAATGGGGATCGCGGGGGATCCCGCTCTCCCTCCAGGAAAGGCCTCCTGCTCCTCGCTCCCGTTAGCGATCGGCACCTGGTGCAAGTGATCAGCAAAGCAGGGGACTCGGAGCCAGCGCGGGAGCGAACGCACATCCCGCGGGATTGCTCTTCATTGCACAGTTACCACAGAAAGAAAAATAACCTGAATGTGATAGAGCGCACTAAGCTCTGGCTCTTAAAAATACACACATATATATACACACATATACCAATAGTCAGCACTCCAGACAGGCACAGTGGTCACGCCAGCTCTTGGTCTCAGTGGCAGTTGCCAAACTGCGCTGTTTTCTCCCAAATTCCTAGGTGTTGCTGGGCTCTGTTCTGGTGTCTGTGCCCTAGGCAAATGATCAGGGGTTAAAACAGTTACTGTGACAGCTAGTCAAGCAGGTAGGCAAGTACTTAGGCCCTTTACTGCATGTTTTTTTCCATGTCTGCTCTTAAAACCTAGAACTTCCCAAAATAGGGGCTAGCTCACCTAATGTGAACGACTAGATGGAGTGTTATTGTCGCCTCTGGTCACTTGCTCTGTTCCGTATCACATATTTGTGTTACAGGGGCCACATCTTTACCCCCCAATTCCCAAACATGCTTCATTGCAGACAATGTTTCTTCGTTTTTGTCATTCTGGAGTCTTTTGGGCAGCCTTTGGCACAGAAACGTAACTCTTGCACCTTTGCAACCGTTTAAGGGTTGAAGGAGCTTCCTATGCTCTGGGAACACGAGAACAAAAACTTCCAGTTGAAACAGCTTTGCTAGAGAGACATTGGAACAGGCCACCGTGCCATTGGCATATTATGGGATGCAAACCTTGCTTTTACTTAAAGCTGACAGTAATTTTGCAAATCTGCCTCTAGAGACCCAAAAAGCTGCAGGAAAGCAGAGCAGTTTCTTAATGTCTTTTTCCATCTGTGATGCGAAACGCACTTAGAACTCAACAATCAGGAAGAACAGCGGCTGAACACTGTTCCTTGACCTTTAAAATGCCATTATTTTCCAAATCAGCAGCAAAATGCGCACCCTTAGGAAGCTTAGGGATGTGCCTTGCCCAAGCGTTTCACATGGTCGGTCTGCAGAGAAGGGGCTGAGTCAACTGGAAGCAAAGGGGGAATGAGCTGCTTGTGCCTGACAAAATCACCAGCACTGCCCCTATAAACGGGCTCGTGTCAGTAAACACCAAGACCTGCAAATTCTGTGCTGCTGTGGGGTATTTAAAAGCCTGTTTAAACAAGCAAAGGTGGCTAAATGCGTTAAATTCCTCTCTCGCTGATGTGTACAAACACGTACAAATATATGCTCGACTTCTCGAGCCCATTCGCTGCAGAGAGCGGTTTTGTAAGACACTGAACAGAAGCAATTGCCTCTCTGCAAAGATGATCCTGCGCTGGCTCCTTTGGGTATTTATGTGCAGTCGAAGGAATCTGGCTTCAAGTGCCAGGTCTGGAATTTCTTCCAGAGAAAAGAGTTAAGATGGAAGGTGCCCGTGGAGGGCCTGGTCCGTGGCATTTTCCAGCACAATGTCACGGGTCCAGGAATCTCGCTGCTGGCTACTAAGTTTTTCAGAAATCTCGGAAACGACCCTAAGCATCTTGTCCTTGTGCTATGTGCTCTGCAGGTGATGAAACGGGAGCTAATTTGCAATTAAGCCCAGGAGCATTGGCGAGTTCCTGGTGCCCTGGGGAGTTTCAGTCACCCAAAATTTGGCAAAGCAAAGCCCTCTGGCTTGCAGAAAACCCAGGGATAACTTAGGGCTGTGCCTGGAAACCACATAGTGTTTTCTGTGCTTGCTTGTATGGCTGTGACTGGCTTTTTGCTTGGAGTTTAGGGGGTTTTAAAATCTTATTTCAGGGCTGTTTTGACAAAATTCATCATTTCTGGTGCCTCAAGTGTGACACTAACATAAGCAGCTCCAGTGCCAGCGGTGCCCTCTGCCCCGTAAGCTCTTTTCTGTCTCAAGCAGGTGCTTTGCATTACTTGCTGCACATTCCCTGTTGGACCTTGGTGTGGGATGTAAAATGGACCGTTCCCGTTGAATCTAATAATTCTTTGTAGGGGAGAATAACTGGAAAGTGGAATGGGTCTGAATCTCCTTTCCTGATGGAAGGGATTCAGGAGGGAGGAAGGAAACAACCTAATGCATAATGCCCTAGGTAGTGCAACCACTTTGCAAATCATATAATACATAAAAGTGCCCTTTGCAATAACACATTCCCCCAGAAAAAAAACCTGGAGTCCAGGAGCGGTGGTTTTTCTGGCATGTCGTATGTAGAAAGCAACGGGGTGTCTTGGCTCTGCTGTTGGAGGCAGGGAAACGTCTGCCACGTGGTATCACGTGTTCCAAAACCAAGGAGCTGCAGTCCCGCTGGAAACACGACACGCTCCAGCCTTTGCCCGTTTCTTCCTTTTTTCCACCCAGAAGTGTCAGGTGGGTCCCCACTATGGGAGCGCTGGCTCCTTGGCCACGTGGTGCTGGACGCGAAGAGGTTGGGACGCTTGGAGTTTGCCTATGGAATAAGGGACAATCCTTGGAGGCGGCTTCCCCTGCCGGAGCGTCTCGGGAAGCAGGAAGAATCGTTCCCGGGAAGCCACGTGCCAGCACTCGGAGAACCGGGGTGCATTTTGTTCCGACCTTAGTTGTGCTGTTGTCTCCTAATGCATCATCACTCTATTGATGCTAAAAAGAATAAGAAGAGATAGAAAAGTCACAATATTTGGGTTTCCTGGGGAGTATTCGGATATGCAGGTGCAGTTCCTTTGCTCCGGCTAGCGCGGAACTCGGGAGCCTGTTTGCGGCTGCCGCTGTGGGACACGGACCCGGCCGGCTCCGTGTTTCCCCTGGGATTTCCGAGGGTCCCGCGCAGCCTCCTGCTGCCTGCGGGAGGATGCAGGAATGAAGCCAAGAGGCTGCCTGGAGAAAGGCAGAGCTGCAACCCCAGCTCTGGAAAGGGAAGCAGGTCAGACACGTGTGCCCACATCTCGGTCAGGAAATTCCCATGCAGCTCCTGTGTTTTGCCCTCGCCGCTATTCCCGTCTCCCCTGGACGTGGGTCGTGTTTCGCTGCAGAGGGAAAGGCAGATTTTTCTTCTTGCTGCTGAAGGTGAGTGGCTAGAGCAAAAGCGAATGATGCTGCTTCGAAGGAGCAGAAAAACTTTAAGGAAGCCTTCCCATACGGTATTGAAAACTCCAGCACGCCGGGACGGGAAGTTTGGCGCAGCTGAGGCTTCGTCGACCTCGTGTAACCACGTCGCGTTCGGGAGGACCTCACTTATTCCCGCTCGGGAATCGGCGCGGCGGTGGCTTCCCCAAACAGCCCCATGTTGGTCCATCCTGGGAGCCGCCCGGGATCGGGAATCGGTGCTCCAGGAAGCGCGCGCTGAGCCCTCGGGGGGCCTCTCCATCCTCGGAGCCCGGCAGCGCTCCTGCTTTCCCGGACATCCCAAGCAAAAGCAGCTGGAATTCCTCAACGCGATGTTGAGTGGTGGCGGCGTCGGGCCGAGCAGGACGTTGCTTGGCCACCCGCTCGCACCCGGAGAGGGGACAGCTTCGTGGCTACGGTCTTCTCCTTCGGGTTTGCTTTTGTTCCTTTGCGGCAATAGGTTCTAGCTGGGTCAGCGCTCCTGGTGGCACCAGAAGACCCGCGGGTTGGTTTTTGTGCTCTGTGCATTGTGAAATTCTCTTCTTTGCCAATAAACATCGCTTTAAAAATCCCAGCTGTGCTGTTGGTTGATTCGTATTAAATACTGAAGGTCAGGGCCATCTGGTAGGTAAAAATTCCCCCTTAACCTTTTGTCCTCTTCCAGTCTCATGACTGCTTGTCTCTTGGTGTGTGTTTTGTTTTTTTCTCTTTTGGAAACTGATCCTTCAGGACAGTCTTTGTGTTAACTACATTTTATGAAGAAACCAGAGTTTCTAGTGGTGTCTCCCCTGAGTATTTTCAGCAAATTTCATTAGGCACCTTCAAAAAAAGCTTCCGCAATTCTTGGTTTTGCTACAAGAACTGGTCCCTCTGGGGAACCAAAACGCTGCTTTAAAAACAAACAAACAAAATGCACAAACAAACAAACTCCCAAACATTCATCCTGGCAGCAAATTCAGAGCATCTTGTCCTTTGTAATCTACCTCGGTCGCCCGAATTCCAGATCAGCGGAAGCTGCTAGTGAGATGGTCCCCTGTAGCGTTCCCACGAGGCGAGAGCTAGAGAAAGGCGCAGGTGCCGCTCGGCCGGCCGAGAGCCGCTTTCCTGCTTGGAATTCTGGAATTCAAGCGGTGGGAGCGGAGCCGGGCGCACTGATGTCCCTGGAAGGGCACGGGAGGGCTGCGGCGTCCATCCCCGCAGCGTCGCGGCTGCTTCGCGTCGCCCCTTCCCACCTTGCGCTTCCATCCGGGGGCTCCTTTGGGTCTTGGCGGAGCCGATCCCGTTGGATCCCGGCGCGGGGCCCGCGCCACCTGCGTGCACCTTTCTCTGGTCCCTCTCACTTTGGCAATGTCACTTGTCACAGGCTACATGCTACTAAAAAACCATAACAAATAAAAAAAGGGGGAAACGGCCCCCGGAGCTGCTTGTCCGGCGGCGCAGGATCCGTATTGGAGAAGTAACGAACAGGAAGTGACAGGCAGATGTTTCCTGGCAATACAAAGAGTCTCGGAGATATTGCAGAGAGTGAGTGTGTCGAGATAGCACGTGGCAAGCTACATAAGAGAAGATGCTACATTCCTTTAAAAAAAAACAGTGCTGAGTTGGATTTTCTTTTTTTTTTTCTGAGTTTTTTTCCTTTTTTTCCCCTTTACGGAGCTCCCTTCCTCTCGGGGGCAAGGGGACAAGCCCAGCGGGCGCCAGGTCTCGCCACCCGGGATCCCCCTCTGCGCGCCGGGACGCGGCCTCGGGGATGAGGCGAGAGCAGGCGGCTTTCGGGAAGGAGATCCCAAATAAAAAAATAAAATAAAAACAATAAAAGGAGACGGGGAGGAGGAATTAAAAAAAGAAAAACAAACCCCACGTGGATATTTACAGCTCCCCAGCGGCAGTTTTGGCGGGTCGGGGTGCCTAGGGGCCGGAGGGGCTGGTGGAGCTCTCGAGCGAGGACTGCGAGAGGCGGCGCGCCAGCGGCCCGATGCTCGAGTCGGCCAGCGACGACGGGGGGAAGAGCTTGTACCAGCCGGCCACGGCGCCCGCCAGGTCGAGCTCCTCCAGGACGATCTGCGCCATCCCCATGAAGCTCTTGTGGTCCATGCGCCCGTAGTCGCCCCACACGATCACCTGGGGGGGACACGGATGCTGCAGGGCGCAGGGGGACGCGAGGGGAGGACGCGGCGCGGGGGCCCCGCGCGGCGTCACCTGCAGCACTTTGCCCTGGGGGCTCTCCTCGAAGAGCAGGGCCTGCTGGTAGCGCGGGTCGCAGCTCTTCTTCACCGCCTTGGTCTTCCTCTTGGCGAGGCAGACGCCGTTCTCCAGCAGGTAGAGCTTCACGTAGGTGGCTGCGGGGACACGCGTTGGCGCCGGGCGGGCTC